TCTCCCCTTTAAGCAGTTCCTTATCCACCTTTCAATTTTCATATTGATCCCCATCTTTTCCAATTTAGCTAATAACTCCCCACATGGAACTGTATCAAATGCCTTACTGAAATAAAGGTAAATTAGATCCACTGCGTTTCCTTTGTCTAAAAAAATCTGTTACCTTCTCAAAGAAGGAGATCAGGTTGGTTTGGCATGATCTACCCTTTGTAAAACCATGTTGTAATTTGTCCCAATTACCATCAACCTCAATGTCCTTAATTACTTTCTCCTTCACATTTTTTTCCAAGACCTTGCATACTACAGATGTCAAACTAACAGGCCTGTAGTTGCCCGGATCACTTTCCCCCCCCCTTTCTTAAAGATAGGAACTATGTTAGCAATTCTCCAGTCATACGGTACAACCCCTGAGTTTACAGATTCATTAAAAATTCTTGCTAATGGGCTTGCAATTCCATGTGCCAGCTCCTTTAATATTCTTGGATGAAGATTATCTGGGCCCCCGATTTAGTCCCATTAAGCTGTTCGAGTTTGGCTTCTACCTCGGATGTGGTAATATCTATTTGCATATCCTCATTCCCATTTGTCATCCTACCATTACCCCTAAGCTCCTCATTAAAGACTGAGGCAAAGTATGTGTTTAGATATTGGGCCATGCCTAGATTATCCTTAACCTCCACTCCATCCTCAGTGTTTAGCGGTCCCACTTCTTTCTTTGTTTTCTTCTTATTTATATGGCTATAAAACTTTTACTATTGGTTTTAATTCCCTTTGCAAGGTCCAACTCTATATGGCTTTTGGCCTTCTCACTTTATCCCTACATGTTCTGACCTCAATAAGGTAGCTTTCCTTGCTGATCACTCCCATCTTCCACTCCTTGTAGGCTGCTTTTCCTTAATCACCTCTCTGAGATGCTTGCTCATCCAGCTTGGTCTACAACTCCTGCCTACGAATTTTTCCCCCCTTTCTTGAGATGCAGGCTTCTGATAGTTTCTGCAACTTTGATTTGAAGTAATTCTAGGCCTCCTCTACCTTTAGATCCCCAAGTTCTTCAGTCCAATCCACTTCCCTAACTAATTTCCTTAATTTTTTAAAGTTAGCCCTTTTGAAATAAAAAACCCTAGTCACAGATCTATTTTTGTTTATCCTTCCATTTAGTTTAAACTGAATTAGCTCATGATCACTCGAACCAAGGTTGTCCTCTACAACCATTTCTTCTATGAGGTTCTCACTACTCACCAAAACCAAATCTAAAATGGCATCCCCTCTTGTTGGTTCAGCAACTACTTGGTGAAGGAATCCATCAGCTATCGCATCTAAGAAAATCTGAGCCCTATTATTATTACTAGCACTTGTTCTCCAGTCTATATCTGGGAAGTTAAAGTCTCCCATAATCACACAACTCCCATCAGTATTTACTTCATTAAAAACATTTAAAAGGTTTCTATCCATATCCAAATCAGATCCCGGTGGTCTATAGCACACCCCAAGCACTATCTCAGGGAAGGCTCTAGTAGCTTTCTTCCCCAATGTGATTTTTGCCCAGACAGACTCTGTCTTATCCATTCCATTCCTTATTTCTTTACATTCTACCTCATCATTGATAGAAATAAAGGCAAAGGTGGTGGAGTAGCACTGTATGTCTTTCCTAAACAGCACATACCCTTCAATACCTGTGCTCCAGTCATGACTACTATTCCACCATGTTTCTGTTATCCCTATAATATCCGGTTTCACTTCCTGCACCAGTAACTCTAGTTCTTCCATTTTGTTACCTAGGCTCCTCGCATTGGTGTACAAACATCTTAATTCTTGCTGTTTGGCTTTGCTCACATTCTTTACCCGATTAGGCCCAGACATTCTACCCCCAGTATCACCTATTAGAATGGTATCTACACTACCCTTCCTCCGTATGTCCATTCTCCTACCCACGGCTGTATCCTTTCTTACTTCGTTTTCTTCCCTCTCAATGTTAAAATCTGGCGTGGAGATTACCTGGACATCTCCTAACCATCTCCCCCCAATTCCTAGCCTCTATCCTAGAAGTCTATTTCCCTCCCTACTAAGGTGAAGTCCATCCCAAGAGAACAGTCCTCTGTCCATGAATGCCTCCCAGTGGCCATACATCCCAAAGCCCTCCTTATAGCACCACTGCCTGAGCCATCTGTTGATCATCATAATCTTGTCACACCTTTGTAGCCCTTCTCTAGGAACAGGCAGAATCCCACTGAAGATCACCTGAGCCTCGATTTCCTTAAGCATCTTCCCCAGCCTGGCATAGTCTCCCTTGATACGTTCCAGCGAGAATCTAGCCGTATCATTCGTTCCCAGATGAAGGACAATCAGTGGATTCTTTCCCGCTCCTGTTAGGATCCTCTTCAGCCTCAGGTCATAGAATCATAGAATATCAGGGTTGGAAGGGACCTCAGGAGGCCATCCAGTCCAACCCCCCGCTCAAAGCAGGACCAACTCCCAACCAAATCATCCCAGCCAGGGCCCTGCCAAGCCAGGCCCCAAAAACCTCCAAGGAAGGAGACTCCACCACCTCCCCAGGCAACGCACTCCAGTGCTTCACCACCCTCCCAGTGAAACAGTGTTTCCCAACATCCAACCCAGACCTCCCCCACTGCAACTTGAGACCACTGCTCCTTGTTCTGTCATCTGCCACCACTGAGAACAGCTGAGCTCCATCCTCTTTGGAACCCCCCTTCAGGTAGTTGAAAGCAGCTATCAAGTCCCCCCTCATTCTTCTCTTCTGGAGAATAAACAATCCCAGTTCCCTCAGCCTCTCCTCATCAGTCATGTGCTCCAGATCCCTAATCATTTTTGTTGCCCTCCGCTGGACTCTTTCCAATTTTTCCACATCCTTCTTGTAGTGTGGGGCCCAAAACTGGACACAGTACTCCAGATGAGGCCTCACCAATGTCGAATAAAGGGGAACGATCACATTCCTCGATCTGCTGGCAATGCCCCTACTTATACAGCCCAAAATGCCATTAGCCTTCTTGGCAACAAGAGCACACTGACTCATATCCAGCTTCTCGTCCACTGTGACCCCTAGGTCCTTTTCTGCAGAACTGCTACCTAGCCATTCGGTCCCTAGTCTGTAGCAGTGCATAGGATTCTTCCGTCCTAAGTGCAGGACTCTGCACTTGTCCTTGTTGAACCTCATCAGGTTTTTTTTGGCCCAATCCTCTAATTTGTCTAGGTCCCTCTGTATCCGATCCCTACCCTCCAGTGTATCTACCACGCCTCCCTGTTTAGTGTCATCTGCAAACTTGCTGAGAGTGCAGTCCACACCATCCTCCAGATCATTAATAAACAGAGGGGTAGCCGTGTTAGTCTCAATACAACTGAACTGCTTCTTTTTTGCCGATGATGGCAAATCAACTCGAAGTACTCCTTCAATTTATAGTAATGTGTAACATCAAAAAAATTAATCAGGTATCCAGTTCTGGCATTAACTGATGACACAGCACTGTCAGTCAAGGGCCATGATTTAGCTTTGTGAGGGCTGCATGTTTGACATGCCTGTGTTAAAGTATAATTTTTAAAAGTTGACTTTTAAACATTTTCTCTAATGTATAGCTACACAATTGTTCTAGGTTTGTCATGTTGGGTACCCTTGTGTTTGTGAAAGAAAGGGCTTTCAAATGATATCCAACTTAATACATTGTCATCAGAAATGGGTTATCAAAAAATTCCACCAACTGGAGGACCTGGAGCGGGGTGGGGTGGGGAGGGAGAGTGAGTCCCCCCTGCCATGCTTCAGAGGGTGACAGCATTGAAATTATGATCCTGTAGATTTTTATGAATCAAATGACACCTCCCTTACCTTTCTATCATTAATTTGCCCATAGAATTGCACATGCTTCCAGACTATTTACTGACCCAGAAATGTGCTCCAACTCTGCCCTGAATTCCACAGGTGAATTCAGTCCCCATGGCCCACTCAGTCCTGTCCCTCTTGTGTGAGACTGCCAACAAGATTCCCAGTTAGTGACAGCTTGGTCTTGAGGACATGGAACTGGAGTAAGAAATATCTTTCTTTAAAAACAAAAAAGCTAACACAGAAGAGAAACATGGATGTGATCTGAAAAAGTAAAGAGCAGGGAGATTCATATCTAAAACCTTGAGAATAACTTGAAGGGAGAAAACATACAAAACTCCTATTCTTGATTATACCGAGAAGGCAATCAAACCGCTTACAGGAAGCGGCAGCAGAAAGGAGACATAAGGTTACTTAGTATTTATTTTACAATATAAGAACTGTTCCTTATTTTCTACACAATGTGGTTTGGCCCCATATTGTTCCACACTCTAAACAGAACCATTATTCAGCCTGAAATTTTCAGAATTAAAGAATCTATCATCATTGATCCTATGTCCTAATCAATATGTTTGCAGAGAGGAGTGCAGATGTTCAGCCCATCTCAGTTTCAGGCCGTTGAAGTTTAAAGGAGTCCTAGGACACCAGTGGCTTTCACGTATAGGCATGAAAATGGTTGGTAGGAGAGCTAGATCGTGTGATAAACATAATTTATTAGCTTTTAAGATTGATACAATAAATAATTTACAAGGAAAGATGAAGAAATTGTTCTAGCTGCATCTCAGACAATCGCCAGAGCTACAGTTCATTGAGTGCTAAACAGTCTGTGCCCACGTGAAACATTTTGTAGTTGTTAATTGTACTAAATTGTATTTCAAGAAGGGGTCAGGTCAGATTTTCAGAAGAGTTCAGCTACTATTTAGGCACTGTAGTAAGTGGCCAGTTTTTCAAAAGTTTGCAGCATCCTGCACCTCCTATTATTTTCATCGGAATCTGTTTGGTGCTGATTTAAAAATATGGCCATTTCATTTAGGCGCCTATATGGGAACGGAGCTCATCTGAAAATATAGCCCATCAACCCTAAACCAGCCATACATGCAAGAGCCATGAATCAGGTGAGCCATCCAGTATTACAACACATTTAACCACTAATTTAACCACTCAACTCTACCTGGAATACTTGCATAGAGCAGAGGCCTCTGACAGACACTCAGCTTTTCACTCTGCTCAAATTATTCAGGGATAGAAGAGGTTCATCAATCAGAGAGTTGAGCAGAAGTTAGGAATGGAAGATCTAGGTTTGATGGGATCAGATAAGAGGGAGGCAAATAGAGCACAGAAAGGAAAGAACAAGGCAGAAATAGGGTACGGTAGCCAAGAAGCAGGAGAGGATGATTGCAGGTAGATATAAAAGGAGAGGAGAGAGAAATTATGGCATTTGAAGGCAAAATATGTTGCAGATCCACTTGGCATTACTGGCCTCCCCCCATGCAGAACCATCCCCATCAATGCTTTCTGATCACTGTGCAGCCATTACCAACCCTTGGCCACCAGACTACTGGAGGGCATGAAGCTGAAGTCACAGTGAGCATGCAATTCAGGTGCAAAAGGGCTTCACAAGGGGATCCAGTGGGGGACAGACCCTCTCAGGGTATAGCTCACTGATGCCCAAAGGCAATTGAACCCCTTCACCGTGAGACTTTAAAATAGAGTCTCCCCCTCCCCACAAGTGAATGAGCCAGGGCTACGGGCATGGGGGCACTGCACTCCAGGCATGTCAGATGCAAACCAGCTGCCCACCCCTTGCCCACCCCTGTTCTGAGCGAGGTAGGGCATGATCGTCACCCAGCGCCCTAGCTGCCAATGGCAAAGCTGCCCCCGTCAGGGTACACTGCCCCCGTCGTGCCCCCCTACCCCTGGCAGGAGTTATTGGGGGTGGGGTACAGCCCCCAATGTCCCCAGGGGCCTGCGAGGCCTCTCCTTAGCCTCCCTCCCTGCTTTCCCCCCATGGGAGTGGAGGAGCCGATCCCTCTGCACACTGGAGGGCAGGGCCCCCACATTCGCCCCCGACTTCCTGTGTCTCACTGAGACATCGGCTGCCTCCTTCCTAGAAATGGCCCAGCCTGGGGGGGAAACAGCCAGCCCGGCCCCAGCGGGACACATGCAGCTGAGGAGACGCCCTGCCCCGCCCCCTCCTAGTGACCTACTTGCAGCCCCCAGCCAGCTAACGGCCATCACCGTGTGCGCTGCTCAAACCCCTCCTCCTGTCCACCCTTCCTCTGTACCTCCTGGGCCCCGGGCGGTTCGGAGACCCAGCGGCCAGTGCACACTGCCCCCGCCCGCGGACTCTGCTCTCCGCAGCCCACAGCGGAGGGTTCGAAGCGCCGGAACTGAAGTGCCTCAGCTCAAGCATGTAGCCGGGCGCTTCCGATATCCTGACCGGAAGTTGAACTGCCCCTAGAGACGGCCATTGGCTGTTGACTTTTCAGGCTGCGCTGGGATTGGCAGCGAAGCGCCGGCTCTTGGGTACGGCGTGACCCGCGCTTCCGGGGTGGGGTGTGGTGGCTCTGCCAACATGGCGGTGCAGGCTGTGCACCTGGAGGCGGACGCCTTCCTGGTCTGCCTCAACCACGCGCTGAGCACCGAGAAGGAGGAGGTCATGGGGCTGTGCATCGGGGAGGTACCGGCCGGGCCGCGGGCAGGCGGGCCTCAGAGCCCGGGCGCTGGGTGTGCAGGAGTGTCCCCCCGCGGGTGCCTGGCCATCTCTGCTCCCCATAGGCGAGGGGCTGGGTGTGTCCCCCACCCCGGGGATGCCAGCCTGCCCCCCAATATAGACTAGGGGCTGGGTGTGTCCCCTACCCCGGGGAGACAGTTCCAGTGCCTCTGTTTTTGCTAGGGAGAAGGGCAGCCACTGCCGTTAGAACTAATGCGCCCTGCTGGAGCGGGGTCCTAACCACATTCCCCCTCTCTAGGAGAAAGGTCTGTGTGTGTATGGGGTGCTTGTTAGTAGTACCGTGCCATCCCCTCAAAAGGATCTGTGTATGTGTCCAGAGGTCCTGCTGCCTCAGTGTAGGACTTTGAGATTTAGGGACAAGGGGCTCTTTATCTGTTGGGGGGGGGGCGGTAATTTACTGGTTGGGGGACAACATGGACTTGTTAGTGGGGGATAACCTAATGCTAACTGATAAGGTGTGTATTTTCTGGGTGCAGCATTGACTAGTGTTTGCTTGAGAGTATCAGCATTAATTCAGGGGTGGGGGATGTGCAGAGTCTAGCCAATAAGAGACCATTTCTTCATGTTCCAAGTCAAAGCAGCAGGTGAGTGTCTGGCCTGCAGGAAAGGGCATGGCTGTGTGTTTTGACTTGATAAGTAGGTTTAGTTTTTGAGAGAGTGGATGTTGGGTAGGCTTTTCATGCCCTGATTGACCCTAAAAGCGAAATATGCATAAAAGCGTGTAATTAAGTTACATCTTTACACAAAAATAAACTTGCTAAATTCTATCTTCACGGGTGAACCTGATCCTCAGGGAACTGAAGAAATAATAGCAATGACCAAAGCTGGCATAGTTTAGACATGTTCTGCTTAAGCATTTCTTGCACAGCTCTGGTAATATGTGCCTCACTCTTGCTCTGGAGCCTACAGCTGGCTACTCTTGTCCCTAAAACATAGGGATAGGTTTTTCAGTGGGTTACTTATTCTAGGTTTTCACTTCTGAAACCAGGAATTTAAAATTCTTGAAGCTATGAGCTTAGGGTGTCACACCAATCTCACAGCTGAATTGGCACAAGTGGCT